CATCCTGAGATCCCTCCAGCCACTCACTCACCCTATGGAAAGGTGGACAGTTGATCTGGCCACAGTAATTGATTGGATATCCAGTGCCAGGACTCCTTCTCCAAACATTCATGTAGATTTATAAATCTGCAGGTCGTGCTTATCCTCATACCTTCAGTATCATGCTTTTTCTTGCATGCCACGTCTCCTAGGGCTTTCAGAGTCATCTCCTCTATACGGCTTGCCTCCTCGCTGTCCTCTGAGAGTCACCTTCCTTTTCTGGTGAACGCATGACCTCTCACGTCCTGCTCTTCAGTCACATCCAAGTGCGTCTTGTTGTCTATTTGTCTGCATCCAGGCTTGACCTGACTGGCCTGTCACTTGTGGTCCTGGATCCCACAGCCCCAGGCAGGGGACTTGCAGCCGCCAGGAGCCGTGGGCTCTTCCTGGGACTCCTCCGGAGCAGGAGAAGGCTTCTCCCCCACTGCCCGTGCCCTCCCCAGCCAGCTGTCCTGGCTGTCCCCCAGCGTGACCCATCGGGGAACTGGCCTTTCTCTCCATTCCTAGGGAAAGGGTGTCCTTGGTCTCACTTTCTTCTTCCCCGCCAGTCTGGCAGGAGAGCTGGAGGTGGCTGGTTTCCTCTGACAGCCCTTCAGTTATCCACCGTAGCTCACTGGGTTGGTAACTGAGAAACAAAACATCGCATGCAGGGCTATGTTACCTCCTCCAGAGATGCTGGAGATGTGGTGCCCACCAGGGATGTGCCAGCACCGTCCTCCCTGCCCTTCCTCCAGGCCAGGCTGGGAAAGGTGTCATCACCACGTCACAGGCACGCACCAGTTCACCCAGTAACTTGGATGAGGAAGAAAGCTGCTTTTTTAGAGAAGAAAATGAAGCAGACCTTGGCAAAGCACTCGCTATGGTGGCTGATGGGGAGTTGTGAATGAAACCGGAGCAAAAGTTGAGTAGAGAACTTGCAGTGTGGAAGAGAAACTGTAATGGGAGATGGTGGAGGATATTGCTGAAAGACGAAGGATCGAGGCTGGAGGGAAATTACTCATGGACTTGTCAAGGACTGCATCTGGCTGAGCTTATTTACATCTCCAGTGATAGGAACTCGGGGCTTGATCATAATGGAGGATGAAAAGGACATGGATCTACTAATTAATGAGAAGCTGTATATGAACTTCAGCCATGAAGGCAAATGTGATCCTGCTCGTCTGATATGTCACCAGTGCAGATGGGGAAGAGCTTATGTCAGTCTACGAGGCATGAGGAAACCGTATTCAGCATAGCAAATTCAGCTTGGGTCAGGGTGTTCAAGGGTGATGGGGGCAGAGATGAACCACAGAGGTGGGTCGAGGACAGGAGAACCTCCTGCGAGGGGACCAGACGTAGAATGAGGGCAGGGAGGGCTACAGAAAGCTTCTCTCTGTACCTATAAATGGAGGTGCAGTCATCCCCAAGGGCATCAGCCAGCCCTAGCGAAGGAGTGAGAGCAGAGTATATCCAGGCTGGGAGTGAGGAGGTGCTGGGACTGTCTCCCAGCAGTAGCACTGGGAAAGAGGAACCCAATGGGTCCTCTTCCCCTGAGGACCATATTGCCACCCTTCCCCAGCTGAACCCCATGTCCGGACTTTTGAGACGGTTGTCACCTCCACCCTTTCTCCTTCCTGTCCTTTAGTGTTTCCCCTTATGTCCTCATAAGTGGTGTGGAACTGGGTTTTGGCACCAGAAATTCACTCACATCAATATCCACTTCAATTTATAGTGATCTATTTATTGGACTTGCCCATCTCTATTGCTATTAATTGTTGGTATTCAGCATCATACCCAAACAGATGACTGCTGCCCCTGGAAATTTCCTCCCCAGCTGACCAAGAAGAGCTCCCAGGAGAAGCAGCAGCACAGACCCAGCATAGAACAAAAGCCAAAACAGCCGGGAAAAATGAGCTCCCATGGGAAGTTGGAGGTGGAGGAGGAATCGAACAGACCTCTGGAGACCCTGACAAGGGCCCTTGGCTTTTACTGAGCTCTGTTTCTTTTTCACAACCTGCAGAAGACACCAGAATGTAAGAGCTGGCCTTAGGGGACACCAGGGCTGAGGAGCATGTCTCTACTGGTGGCTGGTGGTGGATGAGTAGAGAAAACAATATTCAGGGTGTAAAGTGGTCCTGTCCTTGCCATGTCTTTCCAGCTGCTGGCATCTTAGGGAGCGCTCACCATGAGGAGGTACCCAGATCTTCATGTTAAATCTTGATGGATCTCTTCTCCTGCAATTTTTCTGATTCCCTTCTTCAGCCCACTTGCATTTCGGCTTCCAGGACGCCCTGCGGCAGGGACTAACACACTCTGTGCTGCACAAAGGGGCTCTGCCTCCTTCCTCGCTCAGGTTTCCAGCCACTACCTGGTGACCACACCTGATGCCTCCTAGTCCTTGTGTTAGCAAAACCCCTGACTCCCCGTGGCCGGTCCCCTTGCCTGTATCACCTGCGATGCTGCAGAGTGAGAGCCTGCTGCGCCTGCCTCTTCCCATGGGGCTTGGTCCTTCCTTCTGCAGGATGCTCTGATGTCTCTGCTAGCCCTTCTCTGATGTGCGGTAACGGGGCTGTGCCTCTGCTCAGGTAGCTTGCTCCGAAGTCAGGAAGAGTGGTAACCGATTGACTGACACCCTGCCCTGGCTAGTGCTGATCAGCATGATGTCAGACGAGATATAAGGAAGAAGTTTTTTAAGATGTGGGTGGTGAAACACTGGACCAGGTTGCCCAGAGAGGTGGTAGATGCCCCATCCCTGGAAACATTCAAGGTCAGGTTGCACGGGGCTCTGAGCAACCTGATCTAGTTGAAAATGTCCCTGCTCATTGCAGGGGGATTGGACTAGGTGATCTTTAAAGGTCCCTTCCAACCCAAACTATTCTATGAGCCTATGATTCTGTGTCCTGCAGCCTTCTCCTGCCATGTTAGAAGCTGTGATTCAGAGTGCTTTGCAATGCAGAAAGCTTTGCAGGGGCTGTCTGTGCCTCAGTTTCCCTTTGCACTGAAACCTGTGTGCAGCTAGAGAGGGTCTCGGATCCATCAGCATCCTCGAGGGTTTTTCTGAGCTCTTGCTCTTCCAGAGTTGGCTGGCTGGGGGATGCTTTCTCTGAGCGGAGAGCGCTGGGGCTGTGCGTTTCTGTATGGCCTTACATCAGACCTTCGTTAAGACGTCAGTAATGACAAGGGATTGCGGGGCTGTGTGAGTCCCGTTCGGCCCCGCTGCCTGCGCTTTGGGGCTCTGTGCTCCCCAGCATTCGGCAGCTTGAGGAGGTCCCCACCAGAAAAGCTGGGGGGCTGTTAATTCTGTGTCAGGACGCTGTGTCCCGGGACACGGGGCTGTGGGAGCACACAGCCCTGCCCAAACCCATCCCGCTTGCCGGCATGGAGGGACTGATGGGGATGGCGGGGAGGGGACGTCAGCCCTGGGGATCTGGCTGGGCTGTGACATGAGCCCAGTAGTCCCGGTGGCAATGAGGGATCCAGGGTCCCTGTGCAAAGCTGGGGTGTGCACGGGCAGGGAACGGGCAGAGAGCTTTCATGTGGCACCCTGCGGGTAAGGGGGGGTAGGACATGGGCTGGCAGTGGCCCGTGGTCCCAGGAGGTTTCGGCTGTGGGATATTAGCTCAGCCCCATGGTCCTGGTGTCCCCCCCATCGCCCGGGGACACCTCCCTCCGCTCCTCCCCGAGCATCCCCAGCCTCCGGCCGGCTTCCCCGAGACATCAGCTCCACTGTTCTGTCCCTGGAAAGGGGCCGGGGGGCTGAGACCTCCTCTACCCCCACGCTCCATTAGCTCTGTACTGTGGGTCTATTGTGCCGGGGGACGCGCGAGGGCCGTGTCAGTGAGCGACTGTCCTGCCCCAATGAGTTTCCGATGACTCGGATGAGTTTGAGACCCGCTGGCCCCGCAGCAGACGGGGACGAAGCCTGTGCCGATGGGCTGGGGTTTACTCCCGGGGTCCCAGCCAGCGCCCGACTCGTCCGCTCCCGTCTGCCACGCTCTAATCCGAGTGTCTTCCCATCCGTCTCCTTCCCTCACCTCCATCTCCGTCCGTCTGTCTGTCCCTCACGCCTCTCTCTCTCTCTCTCTCTGCCTCTCCTCCCCCTCTGCTCTGCCAGGGAGGGACAGAAGCGGGGGGCTGCCCTCCCAGGGGAGAGGTTAGGGGGTGCGGGGGCAGCCGCAGGGGGACGGGAGCTGTGGGCTGGGGACTGGGTCCACGTCCCACCGGGGGAGTCAGGTGCCGTTTTGGGGCAGGAGGGTCCCACGAGGCCTCAGCCCGGACTTGCTCCTTGCTTTGGCCAGGGGCAGGTTGGGGTGGGGATGTCCCCAGCTGGGTTCGGGCACAGAAATGGGTCTGTGCCCAGAGATCCAGGGCCACCAGAAGCCATCCTGTCCCCTAACGTGTTCCCCTCCACTGTAGCAAGGCCAGGGACCTTCCACCCTGCCCCGTGGGGACACAAACTTGGGTTTGATGACCATCACGGAAGAGAATCCAGCACGTCCCATAGCTCAGCATCCCCGGGAGAGCCAGCACAGGGCAGAGCCGGGCAGCAGTGGGGTGGCTCAGCCCCGGGGTCCCATCCCTGGGCTCACACTCCTAGGCTCCCATCCCCACGCTCCCATCCCTGGGCTCCTGTGCCCAGGCTCCCATCCTTGGGCTCCCATCCTTGGGCTCCCATCCTTGGGTTCCCATGCCCAGGCTCCCGCTCCCAGGATCCTGTCTCACTCCCTCCTGGCACCTGCAGGAATTTGCCATTTCCATGGAAGCGGCAGGCGGGAGCGACTTTTCTGCAGTCCCTGTGGTGGGGAATGGATCTCGCTTGGGCATTTATTTTAATACGTCTCTCTCTCTCTCTCTCTCTCTCTCATCTCTCACTCTTTCCTGGTTCTCGCCTCTCTTTCCCTGGCCCCCCCGCGCTCTCTTTCCGTCCGTGCCTTTCTGTCCCCCTGCCCCGTCCCCCCCCCCCCCCCCGCTCGCCCCCTCAGGTCAAGGTCTGGTTCCAGAACCGACGCACCAAGCAGAAGAAGGACCAGAGCAGGGACTCTGAGAAACGCTCCACCGCCACCTCCGAGTCCTTCGCCACCTGCAACATCCTCCGGCTGCTGGAGCAAGGCCGGCTCCTCTCCGTCCCGGCCCCCCCCAGCCTCCTCTCTCCCACCTCCAACCCCATCGGCAGTCCTACGGGCAACGGATCCGGCTTGGCCACCCCGGGAACGACCTCTCCGGGGCTCGGCGGCGGGAGCAGCCCCCCGGGGCCGGGAGCCTTCAGCCTACAGGTCCCTTCTCTCGCCTCTTCCTCCTCCTCCTCCTCCTCGCCCAGGCTGCCGGCCGCCCCGCTGTGTTTTGGGGGGCCGCTCCTGGGCAGCCTGCACGACCTCCCAGGCGCTTACGGACTGGGCACTTCTGCTTTTGAGCCTTACACGCGGCTGGAAAGGAAAGACAATTCTATACCCAGCAAGAAGCCAAGCCCTTAAATCAAAATGAGTGTCAAAAGGTCTCCCCCCCGCCATCCCCCGCGCCCCCACGCACCCCGCGCCCCGCACCGGGGTTTCATTTGGCAAATGGGATGTGGAAGACTGTTTACCGCCCGTCCGGGGGTGCGTGCGAGTGTGCGCACACGTGTGTGAGCGTGCACGCCTGGCCCCCACCCCAGACACACCAATACAGCCGTGGATGACACCCTGCAACTCCTCGCCCCCGGGGGGCTGATGCTGAACCCGGTCATGCCAAGGTGGGGGGGGTCTCTGGGTGTCCCCTGTCACCGGTGCTGTCCCGTCCTTCGCTGACACCACTGGATCTGCCAGGGCCACATTCCCCCCCTCCAGGTATCGCCCATTCAGGGTCTGGAAGACGATGCTGTGGTCTGTGCTGCGCGGGCTGGGAGAGGAGCAGCTCTGGGGGGGGATTTTGGGGGTTGCTGATGCCCCGTGGTCTTTCAGTGCCTCTTACGGGTGGGACCACAGAGCCCTGGTCCCTCTGGACTGTCACCCCGGCGCCCGTGGTGTTGGGGTCACTCCCGAAGCCCCGGGGAGCGGGAGGGCACCCCGAAAGGGAGAGCGCAGGGCAGTGCCGGGCTCTGTCTCTGCCCGGCCGTGGTGTCCTTGGGCGAGTCTTGGGCTTCAGTTTCCCCACCTGCAAAGGGTTTTGTGTTCTGGCTGAGGTTGTCTGGGAGCATCCTGGTGGCTCTGGTGGTCCCGGTCCCCTCTTCCAGCAGGGAGCACTGCTCCCATGAGATGCTTGGCCCCCCAGCCCCGGGGCCAGGGCAGGTGGGGAGGTCTGTGGGGGACCAATGGTGCCGGTGATGTCCCCAGCCCCCCGCACCAGTGGTCCCTGCCCTCAGGAGCCAGCTGCCGCCCTGACTCGTGAGACATCCCCAGGCTCCTCTGTGCCTGCTCGTGCAGAGCCAAACCGCCATCCCAGACCCTGTTTTGGTGCTGTCCCACCCTGGCAAACCCCCAGGGGATGCTGGAGGAGCCTCCGACCTCCCTGAGGGGGCTGCGGTGAGCTGGGGCCAGGCCACCATCCTGCCCCCCACCAAGGAAAGCCCACCGAGGGGGACGCGGACATATGGGCACTTGCAATGCTGGGATCTGCCCCCCTGGGTTGGGTCGGGCCACGGGGGGGGGTCTTTGCCATCAGCGGGAGCCTGAAGTACCCCCAGCCCCATCCTGGGGTGCTGGCTGCTCAGTGCTGGCACTGCAGTGAGCCCCATCCTGAGCACTGGCCCAGAGGCAGCTGCCCCCCCTTGCTCCCATCACCCAGCAGAACCAGGGTCCAGTCCTGAGAGGTGCTGAGCACCCACTGCCTGCGAAGGCAGCGCCCTGCCCTGCCCTGCCCCTCGGGTGGCCTCAGCTGCTCTTCCCACCTTGGCACCCTGATCCCAGAGGGTGATGATGGCTTCCCGCAGAGCAGGATTCGGCCTCAGGTGTGCGGTGCCAGGGCCGTTCTCGGGCAGGGCATGGCTTGGGAATGTTGTGGTGGGAACGAGCTCCGGAGGGTTAATGGTGGGCTTGGAGCTCCACCAGTGGCAAAAACGAGATGGGAATTGCATGAGGTGGCCCTTTGGGAAAGGGGCAGCGTGGTCCCCCTGGCATGGGCTGAGGGACGTCTACGCTGGGCAGAGTCTGGCCCTTCTGTGGTGTGAGCATCACCGTGGCAGGATGCTCTGTGCTGGCATCACCGTGGCAGGGTACCCTGTGCTGGCATCACCGTGGCAGGATGCTCTGTGGTGGCATCACCGTGGCTGGACACCCTGCAGGGACCACGCTGTGGCAGGAGCAGGATGATGCCCCGAGCCCCCTCCCAGTGCCCAGGAGCTGCCATGGGGCTCATCCCCCCACCCTGCACACCCCAAACCAAGGGGCTCCTGCGTCCTCCTGCTGCGGTTTAATGTATAATGATTATCGCCACTGATCTACCCCCCCAGCCTGGCCCGGGCTGAGCATCACTGCGTGGGCTGCAGCCCTCCCTGCCCAGGCTGCTGCTCTGTAGGGATCGGTCTCTAAGGGGGACACAGCCGCTAGCCCGCGTGTTCCCAGGATTTTGCAGGGAAATATTTAAAATAAATGATTTTATGAAAAGGTTTTGGTGATTTTTATTTTTCCTTTAAATCAAGCATTTCTATAAAATAGTATTTATTGTTCACCTCACGTCTGGAGCACTTTATGGGAGTGAGCCCATAGGTCTCGCGCTGCTCTGTGGAGCTCAGAAGAGGTTGGCACCCCCCGGCCGCAGGTGGGGAAACTGAGGCAGGGTTTGCCCGGGGATGCAGAAAGCAGGGACAGAGTTTGGTTCACAGTGAGGAGCTCCCCTCTCCCGCCCGGCTCAGACCACAGCTCGCTGCCAACACCTCCATACCTCTCCCTAAATGTGGTATTTGCGGGATCCTCCTGGTGCCCCGGGGTGCTCAAACCCCGACAGCCCGATGCTGTGTTTGACTGAGGTTTTGGATTTTGACAGGACAATGATCTTCTCCCTTCCCCTCATCACTTAATTTATATTTATATCGCCGTTCTTCATCCTTCCCCGGTCTGCAAATGTGATATTTAAAGACAGCGAGCCGAGGTGGGCAGAGCTGGCAGCGGGGAAGCCGTGCCCGCCTGGCTACGCCGAGATGGGGCAATCCTGCCTGAAACCCTCCCCCGGGAGGACTTGTTTTGCTTTGGTTTTCCCTCTTCTCCCTGGGAGCAGCTGAATTCCTGAGGTTATCAGACCCCGGTTCCTCCCACCCTGGGCTCACTGGGAGGCAACTTGGTCCGGTTTGATGGAGAAGCGACCCCCTTGCACCTTCACGGGTGGAGGAGGTTTTGGGGCATTTCAGAGAAAGCAAGGTCCAGTTTTATTTTCAAACCTGGGAGTTTTAGGGGGGGGTCCCGGTGTGTTTGCCCAGCTCGGGGCATCCTTGTGTGTCTCCTGCATCGTCCCCCCGCTGCTCAGCGGGCAGAGGGAGAGGTGGAAAGCGAGGCAAGGAGGCCATGGGCTGCCCTGCAGCGAAACAGCAAGCTCTTTCTGCAGATTTAAACTCAAATGCTGCTTTCACACAGGCCCCCGAATCTGATCCAAAGCTGCTGCTTCTCCAAAGTCTCTTCTCCCAGAGCAAACAGCCCCAGCGAAGCTGTCCTGGGGGTGAGGGGGGTTAGGAAGGTCCCGCGGGGAAACCGGCTGGCCCCCAGCCTGCCCCGCGCCGCTCGCCTGCGGCGATTGGGGGGAAAAAAAAAAAGTTTAAAAAAAAAAAAGTACTGGATGTAAAACTTTAACGAATAATGTGGTTTCTAATGGTTAATAAAAGTCACGTCCTGCCTCCTGCCGCCTCCTCCTCCTCCATCACCTGCCGGAACTCTGGCTGAGCCGCTCTCCCCCACCGCCCTCCCAGTACCAGCAGCCTTTACTGGGGTGGCTTTGCGGGGGGGGGGTTATTTTGAAGCCCACCGTTGCCTGCTCCCCCCGTGCATCCTCAGAGACCCCCACCCCCCCGGAGCACGCACACTCCGAGATA